TGTGTGTGTGTGTGTGTGTGTGTTTGAGTTGGTTTCTTGAGACAAGGTCCTACTCTGTAGACAAGGCTGTCTCTGAACTCACAGCATTTCTCCTGCCTCAGCCTCCCGAGCGCTAGGATTGTGGGCAATACCACACCCCATGATGTGTGTTCACACTGGCTATAGTTCTGAATTATTCACAGCATCCTGAACCATGTTTTTGAGGCAGAGAGTTCTAATATGACTGGAATTTCTGTGCAGGACTGGATTCCTGGTTTGGTTGGTTTGTAGGGAATGGATTTGATGCTGATTGGCCCATAGATTATACATCTGTGCTGTGTACTATGTGCCAGGAAGGTGTGTGTGTGTGTGTGTGTGTGTGTGTGTGTGTGTGTGTGCGCCATGAATACCACCACTTGAGCACTCTCAAGTTCAGAGGCACCACCCTGGCTGTGTATCACATGAACTCCAGCCCTGCAGACCCAAGCTAGAAAAATCAAAGCCTCGAAGGAGATGACGTGCTTTCCCGAGGTTCTAAGTGAGGCTGGGGCCTGGAGTGGGTGGGGACTTTTCTTCTGCCACTAGCCAGTTAGTGGCAGAGCAGGGCTAGGTTCTGTTTCCCTCCCTGTCAGCAGAGTTTCATCGTCATGTGTTATGTTCCGTGTCACCCCCACCTCCTGCCACCTGCTCCACAGAAGCTAATTATGTTTGGGAAATTTAAGTTTGTTTTCTCTGAATAATACAGAAATCAAAAAGTTTCCTTTTTGCAGGGCTGGGGAGATGTCTCAGTAGGTAAGCGTGAGGACCCAAGTTTGGAGCCCAGCACCCACATAAAAGACTTGGGCACGCTGCACACTCCTGCAACCCCCATGTTGCTTGGTAAAGATAGGAGTATCACTGGGTCTTGGTGGCCACCAGCTGAGTCAAGTTTAGTGATCTACCCTGCCTCAAAGGGAATAGGGTGGAGAGTGACAGAGAAGGACATCTGATGTCTTCTTCTGGCCTCTGCATGTGTGCAGGTGTGCAAACATACACACACGTGTGCACCTCTCCCCCAGATGTGCCCTCCCCTTTTGGACAACCCACCCTGTGTTCATCTTGCCCTTTCGTCAGTACTGCATCTCAGTGGTCACTCTTGCTTGGTGCAGAAGGGCCTTTTCTGGTCATTGTTGGAATGAACCAGAGCCTCCTCCAGCCCCAGACCTGCAGACACTAACCTACCGCTTATTCCCCTCCCCCCAGATGTGACTGTCCACATAGGATGAGATTCTGAGAATTCTGTTAGGGGCTCTGGGACACATTTGGGATTTTTATGGGTGTTACCTACCCAGTCACCCCTCTATAGAGACAATTAGAGGAGTGTGGCCAGGTCCCAGGTGGCTTTTACAGGGGTGTACTCCTTTACTAAGGAATGCTGGCATTCCTTCTGCTGAGGGCCCACCTTGTACAGCTCCCATCCAGGTGGCAGAGGCTCTGTGTGCCTCAGGAGAGTCCTCATGGCATCTCTGGTTAGGAGAGAGGCAGACTGCTAGTCAGTACCTGATGCCACAATCACTTCATGGGAGACCTCTGGGCTTAGAGGGGACAGCCCTGGGAAGATAAGCTGTGGGGTACAAGGACAGCAGCATGGATGAGCTTTAGTCCCACAGAGATGAGTGAATGAAGCTGTGAGGCAGAGGGAGCAGCGACCGCAAAGTCCTGAGGCCAGAAGGAAGTGAGTGCTTTCCCCCAAACCCCACTTTACCTGGAGCCCCAAGAGAGGAGCTGCCAAGGGTGGGCAGACAGACCCTGGCCTTGCTGGCCTAAGCCTTCATGTTAAGAGCAGTGGGCAGCCCTTTGGGAGCACTCGCTCATCTGGAATGGGAGCAGCACCTGGCCATTCCGAGTTCGGTTCAGCCAAGCTGGAGTACACTTTCTTTATCATGGTCCAGAAAAGGGACAGAAAGGCCCAGGATAACCATGGTCTACCTGGCTCCCCAAAGCAGGAGACCCCGTACCTGGCTTGCAGGACCCTGGGAATAATTCTTTTATTAATTCTTTCAGTCACTTGACAAATGTTGTAGAGGCCTGTAAGTGCCAGGCGCGGTGACAGGTGCCAGACAAACAATACTAACCCACAGAGGATGTGGACCCGACCTCAGCAGAGCTTAGAGTGAAGAGTAGAACTACCAACTTTCATAAAGGGCCAGAGAGTAAATATTTTAAGATTTGTGGTTCATATAGACCCTGCCAAAACTCTCAGCTCTCCTGTTCCAGTGAAGAAGCCAGCCCTAGGCCCTGTGTGAACAGACGTGGCTGCTTTATCAGCAGACAGAATGTTGGTCCTGGGGTGTATTTTGCTTGGCCTTGGTTTTCAGGACAAGTTCACTAAACACATATGGATCAGAGGTGGTGGGAGCTGGTAGTGGGCGCAAAGGAGAAGTGGCAGGAGAGGGGGTGGGAGGTGGTATTTTGGGGGGCAATCTATGATGTGCTGGTAGAGCAGGTACACGGACTAAGGGAGAAGCAGCAGCGCTCAAGGACTCTGAGCAGCAAGTGCTTAAGAAGAGCTCCGAGGGGGCTGTCTCTGAGCTGTCTGGGGGCATCTCCGTGGGGGCTGTCTCTGAGTTGTGGGGGGGCATCTCCATGGGGGCTGTCTCTGAGCTATCTGGGGGCATCGCCGTAGGAGCTGTCTCTGAGCTGTCTGGGGGTATCTCCGTGGGAGCTGTCTCTGAGCTGTCGGGGGGCATCTCCGTGGGGGCTGTCTCTGAGTTGTGGGGGGGCATCTCCATGGGGGCTGTCTCTGAGCTATCTGGGGGCATCGCCGTAGGAGCTGTCTCTGAGCTGTCTGGGGGTATCTCCGTGGGAGCTGTCTCTGAGCTGTCGGGGGGCATCTCCGTGGGGGCTGTCTCTGAGCTGTGTGGGGGCATCTCCGTGGGGGCTGTCTCTGAGTTGTTTGGGGGCATCTCCATGGGGGCTGTCTCTGAGCTGTCTGGGGGTATCTCCATGGGGGCTGTCTCTGAGTTGTCTGGGGGCATCTCCCTGGGGGCTGTCTCTGAGCTATCTGGGGGCATCTCCGTAGGAGCTGTCTCTGAGCTGTCGGGGGGCATCTCCGTGGGACCAGGTATATGTGTGTGTGTGTGTGTACAGTGGGTGGGGGGCTGTCTCTGAGCTATCTGGGGGCATCTCCGTAGGAGCTGTCTCTGAGCTGTCGGGGGGCATCTCCGTGGGACCAGGTATATGTGTGTGTGTGTGTGTACAGTGGGTGGGGGGCTGTCTCTGAGCTATCTGGGGGCATCTCCGTAGGAGCTGTCTCTGAGCTGTCGGGGGGCATCTCCGTGGGGCCTGTCTCTGAGCTGTCTGGGGGCATCTCCATGGGGGCTGTCTCTGAGCTGTCTGGGGGCATCGGGCACAGGCGGAGTGGTGAGACAGGCTGGTGACAGGGACAGACTGGGCCCATGATGACCTCAGGACCAAAATAAAGGGCCAGAGGAAGCGTTGACGGACAGTTTCTAGAGTGGACATTAGACAGAGGGGTCTTGGGGAGACTGTGGTAGAAGGCGGGCTTGGCTAAAGATGACATGCACAGGGAATACTGAGGCTGGTCTGTGTGATGATAGGTCAGAGGTCAGGATTTTCTGGTGGCGGGGGTAGGAGGTGTGTGAATTGAGGAGCCAAGACTACCTCATTACTGATGGAGAAGGGGGAGGCTTGGAGGAAGAGTTGGTGTGGGGTGGTGGGGTCTACCATACCAAGGTGACTGTGCAGAGATTCCCCAGGGAGCAATAAGAGATCAGACTTGGAGATCAAGGGACAGAGTGAGGTGACATGATCTGTTGGAGTGACAATGTTGTCAGTGGCAGGCCCTTGAGATGGGACAGCAAAAACCCAAGATGTCTGTTGCCATTAAAGAGGTGTTTAGGTCACCTGTACCCCCTCCTATTAACAGTTTGGGGGCCCTGTAACCATGATCTTGACTTTTGGGGATCAAGGGGCTCCTCTGAAGGGGTTCTGAGTCTGCTAATTTCATGTCTCTGGGGATTTTTGTCCCCTCCCAGTCCACATCTATAAAGGGACATGAAGGAGCAGGCAATCCTGGTCCTAGAAAGCCTCTCACACTTGGGTGTGGACATCTCAGGCAAACCCAGACTCCATGGATCCTAGAGTCCATGTTGCCCCTCTGCGTCCTGTGGCCCCAACCTGCATGTCCATCCATGTGAAGTGACGAGGCCAACTGTAGCCCTGAAGAGAGCAAATCGTGTAATGGAGCTGTGATCCACACTGACATGAAATAACCTCAGTCAGTCAGGAGGCTCAGAGCGTGAGATAGAGCTGGGGTGCTCACAGTTCAGCTGTGGGTTTGTGGTGCTGTGAGCTATGGCAGATATCAAATTCACTTTAACAGCTTTCACTGTATCTGTGTGCGTAGCCATACACGTTCATGCAGATGCTCGTGTATGCCCGTACAAATGTATACAGACATATGGAGGTCAGATACCAATGTCTCCCCAAAATGCTCTCACCTTATTTATTATGACAGGGTCTCCCCCGAACCTGTAATTAGTTGATTTGGCTGCACTACCAGACCAGTGAGCTCCGGGGATCCCAGTCTCTACCTCCCCAGTGCTGTGCTGGGCTTACAGGAGTATGCTGTCATACCTGACTCTTATGTAGGCTCTGGGGATCAAACTTGGCTACTCATACTCACATGGCAGGCAGTTTACAGAGGAACTGTCTCTCCAGCCCCCAAAATGCACTTCTGAGGGGTGGTTTGAGGTCTCAGCTTGGAGGCTACTAGACCAGTCTGTCTTCCATACTCCACCCGGCTACACTACTCATGTAGCCAGCGCTTGTCGTTCTGGACTCTCTTGAGGGAATCTGGGACAAAGTAGCTTCACTTTACTTGTGGCAAGCTCAGGGTTTGGCACGGTGGGGTATTAAGACCAACCAGTGACAGGAGACCACGCCCACCCATGACTGTGACTCTGCCCTCCAGTTCTGCTTTAGAGGCTTAAAGACCCCCCTCCCCCTTCTCTTTCCAGAAGAACCCAAGGCCATCAGCTCACCCTCCGGACTCGCATACCCGGATGATGTCCCGGACTATGGCCTCAAGCCAGTCAACCCCCTCGCCAGTCTCTCTGGCGAGCCCCCAGGCCGGTTCGCAGAGCCGGATAGGATAGGGTTCCAGAACTTTCTGAGCCCGGCCAAGCCAGCAGGGGCTTCGGGCCCGAGCCCTCGGATCGAGATCACTCCATCCCACGAACTGATGCAGGCAGGGGGCGCCCTCCGTGGGAGAGACACCGGCCTGCCCCCGGAGCAGCCGGCCCTGGCCCTGGCCGGCGTGGCCGCCAGCCCGAGGTTCACCCTGCCCGTGCCCGGCTTCGAGGGCTACCGCGAGCCGCTTTGCTTGAGCCCCGCTAGCAGCGGCTCCTCTGCCAGCTTCATTTCCGACACCTTCTCCCCCTACACCTCGCCCTGCGTCTCGCCCAATAACGCCGGGCCCGACGACCTGTGTCCCCAGTTTCAAAACATCCCTGCTCATTATTCCCCCAGAACCTCTCCAATAATGTCACCTCGAACCAGCCTCGCCGAGGACAGCTGCCTGGGCCGACACTCGCCCGTGCCCCGTCCTGCGTCCCGCTCCTCCTCGCCCGGTGCCAAGCGGAGGCATTCGTGCGCAGAGGCCTTGGTTGCCCCTCTGCCCGCAGCCTCACCCCAGCGCTCCCGGAGCCCCTCGCCGCAGCCCTCGCCTCGCGTGGCTCCCCAGGACGACGGCATCCCCGCTGGGTACCCCCCCACGGCCGGCTCTGCCGTTCTCATGGATGCCCTCAACAGCCTGGCCACCGACTCGCCCTGCGGCATCCCCTCCAAGATATGGAAGACCAGTCCCGACCCGACTCCCGTGTCCACCGCCCCGTCCAAGGCCGGCCTGGCCCGCCACCTCTACCCTGCCGTGGAGTTCCTGGGGCCGTGCGAGCAGGAGGAGAGGAGGAACTCGGCCCCCGAGTCCATCCTGCTGGTACCACCCACCTGGCCCAAGCAGCTGGTGCCCGCCATCCCCATCTGCAGGTGAGTGGGGCTGTGAGAGCAGTGTGGGCCCAAGCGTGCCCTAAATTCACATGGAATTTAGTCACGCAGATGTCATTTAAATCCCGGCTTAGACGCTTGCTGGCTAAGAGTCCCTGAGAAGGATGTTAGCTTCCCCCAAGCTTTAGTTTGCCCGTCTGTAAAATGGGTAACATGGGCGTCTCTGACACAGCAGGTGTTGTGGGAGTTATTGTACAATAGGCATGGTGACTGTCCCCGAGGGCACATCATCATGCTCCTTTACTCAGCAAGTACTTATAAAGTCCCTACTATGCGCTGAATTCCTTTACAGGAGCAGATAGCTATGAGCCGGCTAAACAGGGCAGCATGCCGCCTCTACTGAGTTGACCCCCAGTATGGAACACCTGCGCCCTCATTCCAAGAGGAGCTGTGTGTGGGGCATCTCTCGCTGCCTGTGGGCTGTGCTCGGTGGTGAGAAGCCCCAAAGAATAATACATTGCATAGGGTTCAGTCCTCAAATAGCGAAAAAGGCTGGCAGCGGAAGCAGAGTGGCTCGCAGGGCAGAGGCTTTGAGGTGTGTGCGGACTGAATGTGTGTCGTGGCTCTGCTCTTCATTGCCTGTGTGAATGTGGGCGTTGTGCTGACCTCCTGTTGCTGTGCCGGTGACAGACATTGATAAGCAATTATGATTCTCTCATTGAGCACACAACTCCACAGGCAGGCGGTACAAATGCCCAAATACTTCCATTCTTCCCTTTTTATGTGTCACTGGAGTTCTGACAGGACACACCCTCAGCTGCAGCCACTAAGAGCACCACCTGTGCACATTCACTGTGTTCCCTTTTAAAAGGGCCACCTCCCATCCCTCTCTTTCCTCTCTCTCTCTCTCTCTCTCTCTCTCTCTCTCTCTCTCCCTCTATGTCTTCTCTCCCACTGCTCCTGTCCCCCCCAGGCCAGTGTCTCCCCTCCCCCTCCCCTTTTATGATCCTTTTCCCTTAAACAAACAAACAAACAAACAAACAAACCCTCCACTTGAACTCTGTCTCATGGCATCTCTCTCATGCTGCTTTTTAAAAATTACAATGGTGGGAAAGCAAGAGTGTCAGGAGCTTGAAGTGGCTGGCCATGTCACATCTACAGCCAGGGAGCAGAGAGAAATGCACACTTGTGTTCCACCTGATTTTTCCTTTTTATACAGTCCAGGGTCCCAGCCTAGGGAATGGTGCTTCTCACAGTGGGCGACTCTTCCCACTTTAATCTCATCAAGATCTGGGCACACCTACTGGCCTGTCTCCCAGGTGATTCCAGACTCAAGTTGACAGTTGAGGTGAACCATGACTCTGGAGTTTTCACAGGAGACCTTTAGGAAGGATTCTTTGCTGACAGACCTGTGCCAGGAGAGTAGTCTCACGATAGAGTGACAATGGGGACACCAGGAACCACTGATGTTCTTTCTCATGGGAACCTGAGTTGGTGTTAATTTGGCATTAAAAAAATCTTCTTTTGGATGCTGAGGAGAAGGAGGTGACAGAGGGGGACATGTGCTGCCGTTTCCTCTCTGCCCTGTCTGCCAGCTTAGCACAGTTGGCCTGGGATGTCACTGTCACCCCTGTGCTGCCCACACAGTGCTTGCTTTCACAAATGGAAACTCTCTTGCCTGGGAAAGCTTTGGGTTGGACGGGGCAGGTGAAGCCTGGCTGAGCTTGGCAGCACCTCACAGGCTTCGCTGAGTGGGAAAGAAGACACTCGATGCATAGATGGTCTCTGCTGTAAGTGCAAATCAGGCTGTGTCATAGGGAACCATGAGTGTGTGCTTGAGAGAACCTTTGAATGTGTCAGTCTTTAAATGAAACTTCTTGTCTGCCCATCCATCCACCTATTCATCCATCCATCCATCCATCCACCCACCCATCCATCCATCTTATCCATCCATCCATCCATCTACCCACCCATCCATCCACCCATCCATCCATCCACCCACCCATCCATCCATCTTTCCATCCTTCCATCCAC